CTTAAATAACACATAGATGAGGCAAATATGAAGCAGCTAAAAATGAAAATGCTATGGTGCTAACTTTGCATTTTTTGTAATGCACCAAAACCTCAAATGATTGCCGACCCCCTGAGGACGTAGACGTCTTCAATTGCAACAATAGCAGAGAAGGGCCAGACCGCCGCTACTTTGGATACTGCAACTTTGGATAGACCTATTTCTGTGGAGAATCAAGCAGTGGTCTTGTGAAATCATTGTGCTTCGGCTGCTCTTCACCGCCAGAGTAAAGTTGAGGAAATTACAGACGTGCTATAAAAACAAGCTGTATTTCCAGTGGTTTCTCGTAATTGTGCTTACTGTTTACAGAGCTGGTGACAACAGTCCTTCCTTTGTATCGGCGTTGCTATACAGTAGGTGTCCTGTATCGTGTCTGATGTGGCTGTGCTTTGCTAACCCCAAAAGACACTTGGGAAGACTCTAAAACATCTTTATACGGACCGAGTCCAAAGAGTGACAGTGGCATGGGTGAGTTGTGGGTCATGCTCTATTGCCCTCACATATTGAGGGCAACTGAGGCGTGACCCATTCGGTCTCAGGAAGTGTTTTGCTAAACGAAATGAGTTCCAATTGAGGACGGGGAATAATGTGCAGTGTCGTGAGCTTAAGAAGTATTTCACAACAGGAAAAAGGTTTCCAGGCTGTCAGCTTAAATGAGGTGCTCTTTGGTTGTGGTTTTACAGCTTTAGAGCACATGTTGGAGTGTAGAGAGACAATGCAATAGCTTTTCAACAGGCCTTTGTTTTCTACAATCACATCTCCAGTAAATGTGTCTGTACATTTTTGGGGAGATATCACGGACCAAGACTACAAGCACATTCATATTAGCATCCATGCCTAATTTCGTAGTCACGAGAAATAGTTTGGAGACTTTTTTTCCCCAAGTATTAATTGTTTGGACATAGTTTTTGGCCATGCTGCCATACATGGAAATGACGAGCATGCTAAAACAAGAGAGAACCAATCAGATATTATTAATTGATTATGGTGTATGTTTTTTCCTATATGAGCTTTTTGTTATTCCATGCATTTTTTTGCGTAGTAAAATAAACCCTGTTGCTGTAGTTTACCAAAAACAAGTACCTTGACCAAGTTCAGTGTTTTGTTCGTCCCTCAAATTTAAAACATTTTCCTCATATTTTGATGGTTTAATCAAATGTGTAGGGTCATTAAAAAATAAACTCTATACATAGATGAAGTTAATAATATTTTACTTTATTATTATTATTTTTGGTTTGCTTTTTTATTATTCATTCTGACAACCTACAACTTTCAGGAAAAATTGTATTATTTAAAATTCAAAGGATTAATTATTATAATGATCATTATGAGCCTAAACTGAATATATATATATATATATATATATATATATATATATATTGTGGTTCAGTCCCATTTATCCTCTTCCCAGCATGCACTAGGGCAGTTTGCCAGTTTTATTTACAATGTTGTTAAATGGGTGTCCGATCAGAAATGTGTTATGTAAGTGTTGAGGACTGTGTGTGCCGTTTTATGTCTTTGCAAATTTAATGTGATATTACGGTATTTAAGAATTGCTGTTTGCTTACCATGTAAATTTCCCAACGAAAGCATGAGAAAAAAAACAGAAATAAAGACATTCATCTTGTGTAGAAATATTGATATAACTTAAAGCAATTTGGACAGTTCGGTCAAGACATTAAATGCCTTCATATACTGTTGCCTTCAACAAACACCTCATTTTTATTACAGCATACATTATACTTAATGTTTAACATCTAAATGAGCTTTATTTAAGTTAAATTTATCACTGAATCAACGAGAATGCATTGGGTTACATCAATGAAAGTCATTTTAGAAGAAATAACTCTTCAACTGCCCATTTTCATTTTCACAGTGAAGTGTCATTTGAGACCCAGTTTGAATTGAATTTAATGAGAAAGAATGACATCCTAAACCCTATCCAGCCACATGTAATGCTGTTCATGTGTTGACAGACATTCTACCGTGAGCAATTACACTTTTACACAGGTTTTAAAACACAGGTTTTATGTCACGGGATCAATTGAGAGCTTAATATTATTCTTGGCACTGGAACAAGAGATGTGTGTAAGATGTTAGTAAACTGTATTTGTGTGCTGGTGCGGCTCTGGGGAAATAATTGGGATTTGCCACAATGTCCAGGTCTAGAGGTCAAAGGTGCCATGGAAGAAGCTTCATTACAACAATCCAGGCACACAGTTGAAGTCATGTATGATTTGTCTAAGATTGAAAGCGATCCTGTCAGACTGGGGTCGAGATTTGCTTTCAAAGCAAATACTGTTGCCTTCATTTTCTGTAATTGGAAGATATTGCTTGAAAAAAAGGACTGGAAAAGCGCGGCGGTCGTTTAAAGCCGCAGAACACCTCACCCATTGCTCCAATTTGCGTTTTTAGAACTGCTCGTGTCAGAGATCTGTAGCCTTGACTACTTCTGTCAGAAATCAAAATAAAATGTCTGAACAGAGTATTTCAGAGAATGCCCTCTTTCTATGGAAGCAGGCATAGGGGAAACACAGGTCTACCTCATGTCACATGTGGTGCTCCAAAGGCACGGAAAACTACGCACACAGTAGTTAAGCAGCACAATTTCGGTTTTCAAATGGCTGCTATTGATCTCTCCTTATGGTGACACTTCTGGCGAGAAGCGGAGCGCCAAAGTAAACACAGAGCATGTGCTACCTTTTTCCTCACTTCCTGTGGACAGTTGTAAGTGAATCTGATGCCTGTCAGGAGCTTGTAGAAACTGTGAACATGAGGCATCTTCTAAATGTATGTTATTGATCTTATTGTGAATGTTTCATCCATTTCTTTTTTCTTTTTTTTTTTTACCTTAAAAAACCCCACCATTCTTTAGAATAAATTGGAATTTTTATGAGAAAGAGAGGACTGTTTAGGATGAACCGATTCATAAAGCAGATTTTCCAACAATACAACAGCTTGTTCGCACTACACCTCATTGGAAAAAGCAGCTAGTTACTGGAAAAGCTTATTATGAAAAAAGATGAAGTATTTTCACACCATTGGAAAAATGTTACACTACTGTTCAAAAGTTTGACCCTAACCCTAGGATTTTAAGATTTTTTAAAAAGAAATCCCTACTCACCAAGTCTACTTTTATTTGATCAAACAAAATACAGTAAAAACAGGAATATTCTGAAATATGAATACAATTTAAAACAGTGTAATTTATTCCTGTGATGGCAAAGCTGAATTTTCTGCGGCCATTACTCCAGTCTTTAGTGTCAGAAATCATTCCAATATGCTGATTTGCTGCTCAAGAAACATTCATTATTATCAATGTAAAAACAGCTGTACTGCTTAATATTTTTGTGAAAACTGAGATACACTATTTTCAGGATTCTTTGATGAATACAGATTAAAAAGAAATAGAAATCTATGTTTTAATGTGTCCTTGATTCTCTCTTTCTTAAAAATATTACTGACCCCAAAAGCTTGTAGAAATTAATGCGTAAATATCAACATTAGAAAATAAAGTAAAACCTCAACTTTTCAGATACTGGTGTTCCCATCATGCACTGGGGCTTGAATAATTAATAAGGTTGATTTTTCATTATTTTCCAACTGTATTTACACTGTTTCATCATTGCTTTGTTGTTAGGTTTAGTAACTTGCCATTTTGTGACATGGAGTTCTTCTTCTACTCAAAATGACACATTCTTACTCAAAAACGATCCATCGAATGTTACCATCATTGTGTATGTATAGAATTGAGGCCTCTGTGTTTAGGTATGTCTACTGGCATTTAGGCATTACTTCAAATGTGTAGAAATGATGTCAATATGTATTGTAGTATTTTCTTGGATTTAGTATTTCTGTTTCAAAGTAAAGCTTACATTTTAAAAGCGTGGCTTAATACAGCTTTATATTGTTTGAGTAAAAAATATTGCAAAGTAAAATTCATTCAAGTAAGTAGAAATTACTCAACAAACTTTTCTGGCCAAGTTAAAGGTACTTTTTTTTTTTTTTTTTTTTTTTTTTTACTTAACTTAGTTAAGTAAAGTTTACTCAATTCCGTATGTGAAATTTACTTAAAAAATTTGCATGCCAAAACTTAAGAAAGAAAAATAAAGTAAATTTTACTTATTGTTATTTTTTTTCAGTCAACACTGCCTATCAGATAGCGCTGGCTTGTTTTAATGTGGTTGTTATAGCTTTCCAGTATACTAAGTGACTGCCATGCATCTAGATGACCTGGAAATTATAAATCCACAAGTCACCGGTCACAATGAACCGCACAAGGGTTTTGTTTTTGTTTTTTGCAGAGAGGATGACATTATAGTTGCCCTTTAAATGCTAACAGTGTCCTTTAGTAAACAAAAACATTGGTAAAGCTTCGACAATGGACAAGCAGCCACAATAGGAACGACATCAAGTTTAGGTTGTGCTGCTATAAACAAGCATGTGCTGAGTTCACTTGGTGAGTGCACTGTGTGGTAGACACAGCAGAGCAAACTCACACGCTGAGCCAGATCCACAGCTCCTAAGAGACCAATTGAGTACATAGAGAGAGAAAATAGACACAGCATATAAAACCACAATAACCTTTGGAAATGCTACGATACGAAGACTCTATAAACTTTTGTTACCAAATCCAATTTAGTTTAGCAGATAAAACAAAGAAAACAATAGAGACAATTATTTATATTATATATAATTTATTATTCATATAAACATTTTAAATAATGAATAAATTATTTATAATTATTTAATTGCCACCGATCTTTGATTGGCATATATATATATATATATATAGGCTATATATATACATATATATCCTTCAAACTTTATTTTTCCCATTATCTTTCTTTTAATAGTAATTCATAAAAAGATCAGGTCTGTGTTTGGAATGTTTGAAGTAAAAAAAAAAAATCTGGATTTGGCCTTTGCCCTTTAATGACCCTTCTCATAGCGTTAACTCTCGACGTCACTGTCGTCCCACCAATCAGCTCACAGGAGGCGGAGCTAAGAAAACATGTCGTCTGTATCGGAGCTGTACGATGTCACTTGGGAAGGTAAATGACTTTGTTTTCGTTAACAGCGGTTATTAGTTGATTCAGTATTTATCTGTAGTCATTCAACCGTTACGCAAGTTGAGCATTTTGTAAAGATTTGCGAACTAAATGCCTTATTTTTGGTGCGTTTCATTAAAGACTACAACAGGCGATCTAAGTAACAGTTAGCCAGTTAGCTTCTGTACAGTTTAGTAACAAAATCTCTATTCTAGAAAGACATGTATATTTGTTCATATAATGGATTACGGTGTTTAGGTTGCAATCTGTATTTAACTATCATATTGGGCTTTATAGAAATTGTCATGTTGAAATTTAAGCGGAATATTCTGTATTTTTTTTTTTATGTCTGTCTGGTCAGTTAAATGGTGATTTGTCATATTGATGTTGTCATCTACAGTCAGATAATAAAGAATGATTCAGTTCTCTTGAGATTATCATCATCTCTTGTTGTTTTTATAATGTCAATATTTTGTTGCCATAGATCTGACATCCTAATATAGTGCAATAATGCAGATTTAGATGAACTAACTTAGTGTTGTTAAAAGTACCGACAAACACTACCTGACAACTGATATATGTGTTTGGCTCTTTAAACATGAGATATAACATGTCCCACAACTTGGTTTCTTAAATAATGCTGCTTAAATAATTCTTAAACAATGACTTTTTTTTTTCTATACAGCTTTTCACTCATATGTTTTTTCTGATTATTTGATTTCTAATGGGGAAATTGCTAAATATATTCTCTTTAATGTTCTCTTTAATGTAAAGTATTTTCTTTAATGTTCTCAGACATTTATTCCCCACTGTATGTACTTTGTAATTTTAAGGTAGATGTGTAATTAATTAGATTTGTTTTGGCCTTTTAGTTGTTTTGACACCATTATCAGAATCTGACATCATTATAATTGTGTTTTATTCTTATATAGACAGTTCTAAAAAGTTTTGTGTTGATTAATTTAAACCAAGTATAGTAGTCAGGAAACATGTCAGTATTTTGGAGCACTATAGATGTTTGTTTTTTTGAAGATGAATAAAGAAACTACAAGTTATATTCACAATAAATAATTGATGGATGATGAAAATAAATAAGTGATAAAGTTTCAGCCAAGGGCTAATGTGTTTCTTTATTGCATTTCAGAGATGCGTGACAAACTCCGTAAGTGGAGAGAAGAGAATTACAGGAACAGTGAGCAGATTGTGGATGTGGGTGAAGAGCTGATTAATGAGCATGCGTCTAAACTTGGAGATGACAGTAAGTACAATTACAGTAAACAAAAGCAAACTTATAAGAAGTAATAAATAATGAAGTACCTTCGGTGTCTATAGCATTATATATTTCTTAAAGTTAATGGCTTTTATAATTGGACCGGTTTAGGGTGATGTCTGGCTGACTACGATCAGACGAGTTTCTTAAGCACATATGGACACTAAGGCCCCATCCACACTACTGCGTTTTAGTTTAGAAACGGAGAATTAAAACGAATACGATCTCCGTCCACACCAGCGTTTTAGCTGCGTATTAGAATTGATATCCGTCCACATTAAAACGACTGAAAACGTCTCTGGTATGGTATGTCTGTATAAATGTTTGTTTGTATATTGATGGTTTATCATGTTTGTACCCAATGTTGCCTTCAATAAAAAAATAAATAAAAAAATAAAAAAACGACTGAAAGCGCAGATCACGTGACCATTAACCTACACCTACGGCGCGTGCCGGTGTAAACAGGAAACAGATCGACTATTCCTCAGATTTGACGAAGAAGAAAGTAGCTAAGTTACCTCTGCAAAGAGCGACGCTCCATGTACGTTTGATACCGCCACTGCACACGGGAATTGTCACAGATCGCTCGAATAATAGCTTGCCTCCGGCGTATGTACACAGTTAGGCCTATAGCATTGAAAAAAAGGCAGAATTTACTTTCACAACAGCTGCTAGCAAAGACATCAAAGTCAGTAACGCTTGCCATGACTGATGACACTCAACCATAGAGCCGAGCGTGAGCCTCCGCGTCATCGTTTCTAAAGTCCTCCGTTTTGACCCGTCTTCACTAAAACGCCCTCCGGAGATTCAAAACGCAAAACGGGGTCGGCAGCGTTTCTAAACTTCTTCGTTTTTGCCGTTTTAGTCTGGATGGGAGGTGCAAACGTAGCAAAAGGTCTCCGTTTCGAATCTAAAACGTGTGGATGGGTCCTAAGTGTAGCCCTTCAACAGGATAACTGACAGATATTTAACAAATAAATAGGCTGAAACTATAACTTTTTATTGCATGGAACCATCATGTCCTAACAAAATATTGAGGTTATATTCCCATTAGACAGTTAATAGGAACATTTCCTACAGCAGGCGATCTAAAGTTTGACAGTAATTGTCTTGAAATTTATTAAAGGCACTGATTTTGTTACAAAAGCTATGCTTTAATGGCAGTTGTAGAAGTGATTTAAAGAGGATGAGTTTAGAGTGCAACTTCTTGGAAAGGGTTTGCTATTTAAAATGTTAGATAAAACAAGTCTTAAAATTCACTCTTTAAACTACTTCCACTAAAACTTTTTTTTGTTTTGTTATAAAATAATATAGATAAACCTCACTAAGTGACTAGAGATGGTTTTGCGGTCTTTAGCACAGTCAGAGTTACAAAAGTTCAGTGGTGGAAATATAGTTGCATAGTCATTTGAAAATAAGCAGTTAATGGAAAATTTTCAAATTAAATATCAGATTTTTTTTTAAGTGCTTTTGCTTAAGTATTTGGATCCACTAATTTGCAAGAACAAATATATATTCAGCAATTGTTTTGGCATAGGTTTTGTTAACATTTATAAAAACATACCGTGTATGAAGTTGCTGAAGTCTTTGAGTCGGTTATCTGACCTCTTGAATATGACTATTGCAGAAAACGGAAAAGAGCACCAATTCTTTTTTCTTTCTCTGTCTTGATTTGTCCTTGATTTGAAAGATCTGATAACAAAAAGACTTTTCAGCTTTTCTCTTGACATTAAAATGAGGTTAAAGTGGAAACAGCAGAAACATTTCAGATGGCTTAATATTTATTTGCTTTGGTCAGTTATGGGTTTCTAAGCCAGACAAGCCAGACAAGTCCTGCAATCGTGTTGTCAAACATAGCCACTAAAGCCAAGACTCTCTTCAGCTAAAATCATTATCTCAGAGGTGATCCGATCCTTCATACTTGCTCTGAAACTCACTCCTATAGTTGACAATTTTCGGTTTACCAATTGGATAAATTGGGCTCTTTTCTACTCAAATCAAATTTAGGCTTTTTTGTCTTTGTCCATATTAATATTTTAAAACCACATGTAATCTCAAATAACTATTATTAAACTTCTTTTGGCTGTTCATCAGATTACAACACTGCTTTTTGAGGAGTCTTAGCAAACAACAATGAAAGAGTCAAAGTTACCAAACAGCCCTTAAAAAGGCTTTTACGGCAATACATATGCTCATACAAGCAATCAAAGAAATTAAAAATAACGATGGTTTTCGTTGTTGAACCTTTTCAGATTTCTAGATGGGCCTGTTATCTAAATTAAGGAAAGAATAAAGCAAAGATGAGTAAAAGTCTGTTTTATTGATGCATGATGTCGACTTCTTACTGAAACTTTCATTTTTGGTTGTTGTGATTATTATTCAATACTGTCTTTAAAGAGCAGGGTAAATACTTTACACAGCTTGTTTTGATTGAAACCAGCTCTTAAATTGGCTGTGAAACAAGATGGTAATTATCAAAGCAAGACTTGGAATCATAAAAACAGCTAAAAAAAAAAAAACTTGAGGCGTTTGTTTGCTTTGGCATATCAGTTTTTTTCTTGTTCGGTGGGATTTTATTGCTCTTTCTCAATTAGCACATTTGAAATCATTCAGCTGAAAGACTTCGGGCATGCTTGTCAAAACACACTTGTCTGTCATGGAGCATTAATTTAATTAATTGGATCCATTAGCCAAGCCCACTAATCAGTTTTCTTTATGGTAAATAGAGCAGCTAAAGCCACTCGCTTTGTTACAATTGCCAGTTGAACGTTAAACATTGCCATCTTGGAAATGACTTAAGCATTTAATTGCAGGAATTTAAAATTCCTGTAATCTGTCAAAGTAACGACACACTTTTTGGGCCGAGACGACGATAGCTCCGCGATTTCAGCACGTAACGCATGTCATGACGAATAGAGGGTGAAATTCGCTCACCCTTTGCGGTGTTTGACTGAACTGATACATAAAACTGATGAATACGCTTAGGTTTTCTTGTCAAAATTCAGCGACTTCGTTTTGTTTGGCGTGAATTTCCTGACCGTTTCCATGAGACCTGCCAGCTCGCCCACACCCGGAGATTACGAAGACAAACTGCGTCGTTGACGGACGCTAAAAATTGTCTTTTCTAATGATACAGAGAAGAAAGTCACAGTTTGCTCGAAAGGAGTTCACGCGGGTTAGATGTTCATTTGTCATCTTCGCTACCATGTTGAAAAATAGACTCACTAATATGGTGTCATTTTCTGTTTGTCTCCTGTGCTCAGTTTGGATAATTTACGAGCAGGTGATGATCGCAGCGTTGGACTGCAGTCGTGACGATCTGGCCTGGGTGAGTTTTCTTTAAGTAACTTTCTCGCATTCTCTCATATATTCAACTGGGCACCCTACTCGTCAAGTTTTTGTTTTTGCTCATTGAAAATGTAACGTTTTCCCACGTTGCTTTTTCTAAAAACAATTTCTTGAGATTCAAATCAGGCATGATTTTCAGCGATCAGGAATCAGGGATCCTGGTTGACTTGAGACACTTACAGTAGTCAGTTTCTGAGGTTCTTACCAGAAGCTAGGAAAACAGCGGGAAAAAAAAACGTCTGAGAGCATGATGGGTCAGGCGGGCTAAGCCACAGAGCAAACTTTCCATCCTAACCAGGAAAACATTGGATTTGACAGTAACCATTCCTTACCAAGTCATGAGTGTGTGAAAAACAACAAAAAAACAAGGTCCTGTTCATCTCAGTGGGAAAGAACTGGTAAAAGTAGCATCCTGCTTCTGCTTTTTATAGTAGCCAGTGTGGAATTGTGGGATCCTGCTGTGCAGTGTTCTGAATTCTCACTCATGCCACTTGCAATTTTTCCCGTCTTCCCTCACAGCTGTATGGCCAACCTGTTTATCATGGCACCCACGGACAGGAAAGTTATGGTTTCATTTTATGGTTAGCAGAAACCTTCGCTGTAATATTCTCTTGTCAAACTAGTCACATCACACTTTTTAGAGTAGATCTATAACGTTTTGAATGCTGTGGATGAAAAGAAAAATGTATGAAGCCCACATTTCATCACCCCTGAGAGTTGTAGTATAATTTTCAAGTGCTCTGTAATCCAGCAGTCTTTGCATAGTCACTCAAGCTGTGGTGCAATAAATATAGGAATTTATTTTTTGGGCAAATGATCATGACTGATGTTTAAGGTAATGTCAGTATTTTGTTGATGTTGGTAACCCTGTAAAGCCTGATATATGAAATAATAGTAAAAAAAAAAAAAATCGAATTGTCTATATCATTTTGGTAACACTTTACAATAAGGTTTATTTGTTAACATGAACTAAGAATGAACAATACTTCTTCAGCATTTATTAATCTTAGTTAATATTAATTTCAATATTTACTAATACATAATTCAAATTAAAGGTCGTATTTGTTAATGCACTGTGAACTAACATGAACAAACAATGAACAGCTGTATTTTTGTTCACTTAACTTAACTTTATTAATAAATGCTGTAACAAATGTATTAGAATGATTCTGAATGATCATGTGACATTGAAGACTGGAGTAATGATGCTAAAAAATCAGCTTTGCCATCACAGGAATAAATTACATTTTTATATATTGAAATAGAAAACAGAAGTATAACTAATGTATAAATATTTCACAACATTACCGTTTTTGCTGGGGGTTTTTTATCAAATAAATTCAGCCTTGTTGAGAATAGACTTCTTTCAAAAACTTGTGGTAGTCATTTTGAAATGTATAGATCTATTATTAATATTTATCGTATGCAGACAATACTAAGCTGTTTTTGGTTAATACTCACATTGGCTCAACCTATACCATGACTTTAGAACAGGACTTTTGTATGACAAACCACTGGCAGACATGAAGAAGGTTTGGAAAACCTGTTTGTGGAGTCTGTTTTGAAAAGTTAAATGTTTGCATGGTCAACCCCACCGTTGTTGTTCTTTTGCGTAGAGTTGCCTACAGGAGCTGAAAAGGCAGTTTCCAGACAGTCACAGAGTGAAGCGATTAGCAGGGATGCGGCTGGAGGCTCTGGAGAGGTAAGATACACCACAGCACCATCTTAACACCAAGGCCTTGGATTAGCTGCAAGGAAGGGGGTTCTGGGACGTAAGTGGCAGGATGCGTGGGAAGGGAGGCTGTTTATTTTGCAAGCCACTGTTCCTTCTGCTAAGTGGAAAAGCGAGAGAGAATGGTTCAGCCCTCAGTAGTCATGTGGCTCTTGTGCCTGTGCTAGGAATTCCAAAGACGGAAGTGGTCTCTCCCGCTATTATTCTGGGGGTCCCTCTGTACCCCCGCCCCCTTCTCTTTTTGTCTCTCCGGTTGGGAAAACAAGGCCGGCCAGACCTGTAAACATAGAACCTATGGTCTGCTTTTTCTCTCCCAGAGAATTTCACTCTTTCTCAGTGTTTGAGCAAACAATTAAGAAGGTCGTAAATTGATGTTAATGTATAGAATTTCAGCAGGATTTCAGATCTGTTTCATTCTGGTCACTATGTCTTCGACGTGTTTATCAGTTATGCCAGGGGTTGTTCCGTAATTGAGAGTGATTGCGCCTGCACGGTCAGATTAAATAAACTGCAAATTTGAGTCTAATTGCCATCAGACGCTCGGCTTAAATGAAACTCTCCCCTCCGCTCCCACATGGCTGAATCCTACATAAATAGAGCGAGTCAAAGCGGCTGCTGCCATTTGAGATGTGCCAGAGAGTGAGTGAACTCTAATGTGGATGTGAGAACAGGAGTGGCGTTGGAGCTCAATGATAATAGGAACCAGAGCTGCTTCTGTTGTTGGTTGCGAGCTGAAACAGATCATGATCATGAGGTCGGCTGCTTTGGCTGTGCTAGCGCTAACTGTGCAGGATGTCCCTCGTAAAATAAAAAAAGCAAGCTTTCATTCGACATGACAAGTGAAGTGCTTGTGGCATTGTCCTCCCATTCTTCAGAAAACACTGTATGAGATCAGCATCGTAATTCGTAACGTTTATTCAAACACTGTGCTGTCCAACTCTCAGTTCAGGTTGAAGGGCTCGTCGAGTGTTTTTTTTTATTTTTTTGCATCTGTAACTCGTATATGTCTTGCTTTGGAATGCCTTTTAAGCGAAATGCGCTTCGAAACGATGCCTGATTTGTGGTGGAAGTTCAGGCTGATTTGTTTAGAGGTAAATCAAAGTGCAGGCAATCATGTTTGTGGATTACGCTCTTTGTGGAGTTTGTAAACCTCGCACAACACTGGCTATTTGAGCAGCTACGGTAATGGCTGTTTATTTCTACCGCTTGGATACGTAGCCTCTGTCACTATAGAAACAAGCTGTTCTCTATACAAAAAGTTTGTAACTTTATTTGATAGCTCTACCACTTAATTTCACATGACCGGTGTTCCTGTTGATTATCCTTAAATATGATCTCTCTCTGTTGAAGGTATGAGGATGCCAATAAGCTGTACGACTCAATACTACAAGATGACCCGACAAATACGGTAAGGAAAAAAATGCGGTTGAAACTTGTTTTGCTGTCTGAAAAGTTCATTTTCATACGTTAAACTCTTTCTCCCCTCAGTGACCTCAGCCACTAAAAGCACACACACGCAAACGCAGTACACACAAGTGTGTGAGGTAACAAAGACCATTGATTTATGGATTTTGGTTGCATTAAACACGGCCGGGGCAACCTCAGCAAAAATAAATGGCTTGTCTTTTGAAGATGGGGATTTATCGCTTTTCCTGAGACTCCATAGAGAGGTCTCTGGGGTGCTAATTTTTTCCCCTTCGTTTTTTATTTACCTTTAACCTTTAGATAACCTTATTCTTAGTCTTCATTAAATCACCCTCATGTCACTCCAAATGCATAAGGTTTTATTTCTTCAAAAAAATTTGGGTAGGTGTGCACCGAATTTTTGGCTACCGAAATTATTCTGCCGAAACAGCTATTTTTGGTTTTGGAAGGCCGAAATCAGTGACCTAAACGGACATTTCATTAGCGCTTCTCCAATAGCACATTTTGACTGTTCAGCGTCCGTTTCCTGCACACAACATGGATAAGCTACATGTTAAACATGTCAGCTGTGTGGACACTATCTCTGGATTGACAATATTACACCAATATGGTTTCTAAAATCTTTTAGTTTGTGCTGCTTGCTGTTGATGCATGAACAAAACTTCAGTAAACATTTGTAGCATTGCTGCCATCCAATAATCACAAAAAGCTTTGCTACTTTTAATATAAAGCAAAGTCTCAACTTTAAAATTCTGTCAATTTAATTACGAAATTCAAACAATAAATGTATTTTTGCCGCTCTTTAATATGGCGTGACCGATCACTGTAGCTGCTTCAGTTTAAGCTGCACCACGGATCAGTCACACTTAAACCGATCAACGGTTTTCGGCCAAGTGCATCCTGAAGGTTTGGTTTCGGCCCAGAATTTAAATTTTGGTGCATCCCTAGTTTTTTGAGTCAGATGTACTTTTTAAAGTCTTAATGATTCGTCCACAAATTGACTGATTCGGTTCTCGAGTTTAACTCAGTGACCAGTCCACTAGAGGTGAGGATCAGTGAATAACAAATGAAATTCTCCCTTTTTTATCAATTTAATCCTTGCTGAATAAAATAAATAATTTCTTGCAAAAAAAAAAACTTGGATATATACATAATACTTTGTGTTCCATGGAAGAAAGTCATTTACGTGAGGTTAAGAACTTTCATTTTTGGATGAATTATCCATTTAAAGTATGTGGTTAAGTCTTAACTTATTTATTATTTAAAGATCACTTAGGTATTAGAAACCCAAATGCACAGTTGCTATTGATTTGTCTTCTCTTGGCGTAACGCATGAAGCCTGTTTTTTATTCACTGATTATTTATTGAGTGAAGTGGCTTACAGTATCCAAGTATGCTCCATGTTTTTCCAATATCTTTCCACCATCACCTCAAAACATATTGTACCTGCCCTTCATTCTTAAGAAAATGCAAGAAAATAAATGTTTTAAAGTGTTTCATAACCTTATTTGTTTTGGCCCTTCCCTGTAGGCGCAATACACATTTTTTGCACTGTCTCTACACATGGACTTGCTTAATGTTTTAAACATTTTCTCTGGGCTGGCAAAGTGTGCATGATGAAGCAGATACTTTTGTTCTTTGGACATCATGTGTGGATTCCACACCTCACCGTCCGTCTGTTTTGAACACATGGAGGCTTTTCTGGCAAAG